ATACTAATCTCAATAAATTAAAATTTCAATATAATCTTTGAACTTTCAAAAAACTTTAATAGCAAAGGCTTTAAAAACCATTGGGAGCCTTTGCTGTATCGAATCAGAAATTTTTTTATTATTATTATAGCATAAGTTGCCCATTTAACGGGCGACTTATAAGTCGTCCGTAAGCCGGGCGACTTATTACTATAACCATTTATTTGCCAACTCAGCATAACAGCTAGATTCCTAGTCAGCATAAGTCGCCGTTTTAACAGGTGATTTTCCCTATATTTAATTTTTTTAAACAGTGCTTAATTTGTTAATACAATTTTTAATTATGCTTATTGTTAAAATTTTCCCTAATCTAATGGCTGAAGAACACATTTGCTGGCTCCAACGCAGTCCCCTTCCTCCCAGCCGGCGACGCCGGACCTATTGGGAGCTCAGTGATTCCAATCATAACAAGCTGCAGGACATCTTTGGCAGCTGGGAGCTCGTCGACAATCGACCTGCCGCAGGTGGCAGTGGTTGGGAGCCAGAGCAGTGGAAAGTCGAGCGTATGTGATTCCACTTCGACTTGGCTATGTTGGTGTGGTTAACCGTAGTCAACAGGATATCAATCTAAATCGAAGCATAAAAGATGCATTGGCTAATGAAGAGACGTTCTTTTGACGTCAGCCTGTATATCATGGTCTCTCTCCTTGTTGTGGAATTCCTAAATTAGCTAAGAAATTGAATCAGATTTTGGTGCAACAATATTAGGGCAGTTCTTCCGGGATTTGAAGTCTCGCATAAATTCCCAGTTGGTGGCTGTTGCAAAAGAGCATGCTGCCTATGGGGATGTTGTAGAATCAAAGGCTGGACATGGTGAGAAACATTTTGAACATTCTTACGAAATACTTGTGAAGCTTTTACTTCAATGATTGTGAGGGAAAAAATGAGGAATTATCAACAGCTGAGCTTTTTGGTGGGGCACGAATTCATTATATTTTCCAGTCAATTTTTGTGAAGAGTTTAGAGAAGTTGATCCTTGTGAAGATGTCAGTGATGAGGACATTCGCATGGCTATTCAAAATGCCACTGGTCCGAAATGTGCTTTGTTTGTACCTTGAGGTTCCATTTTGAAGTTCTTATAAGAAGGCAGATTGGTTGTTTACTAGATCCAAGCCTCCAGTGTGAAAAATTCATCTATGATGAATTGATTAAGTCGAGCCATCACAGCCTAGCTAATGAGCTTCATCGATATCCTGTTCTGCGGAAGTGCATGGATGAGGTAATTGGAAATTTTCTGCGGAGAAAGACTTCAGCCACCAGAAATAATGATAACCACCTAATTGAAATGGAGATGGATTGTATAAACACTTTACATCCAATTTTGTTGGAGGAAGTAAGGCTGTGGAGATTGCACAGCAACAAGTCAAGGCCTCAAAACCAGCGGCATCAATTTCTAGACCCAAGGATGGTTTAGATGGTCATAAGTTACAAGCATCTGAAAGGAGTCAAAAATCTCGTGCCATTCTTGCTAGGGCTGGAGCAAATGGAGTTGTTCATGATCAGGCTCTGGGAGCACGACCTATGTAGATTCGACAGATCGGGACTCAGCTGGAAGTTCAAGTGGAAGTGGACCCAGTTGGGGAATTTCATCCATTTTTTGGCTTTGTGAAAACCGTGCTCCAGCAAAAGAGATCTCTTCGAACAAGTCTGTAAACGTTCCTTCTCACAATGTGGAACATTCACTATCCATGATACAACTAAGAGATCCTCCAGCCATCTTGAAGCCTTCAGAAAGTCAATCAGAACAGGAGGCTTTGGAGATTTCCATCACAAAATTATTTCTGAAATCTTACTATGACATTGTTAGAAAAAATATTGAAGATACTATACCAAAGGCAATTATGCACTTCCTGGTTAATCATACAAAAAGAGAGCTACGCAATGTTTTTATCAGGAAACTTTACAGATAAAATCATTTCGATGATATGCTACGAGAGCCTGATGATATAGCTGCCAAGAGGAAAAGGGTTAGGGAAACACTAAGCGTTCTGCAGCAGGCCTACAAGACGCTGGATGAGTTGCCACTTGAAGCTGATAATGTGGAAAAGGGTTATTCTCTGGATTCGGATTCAACCGGCTTGCCCAAAGTCCAGGATCTACCTTCTTCATTCTGATGCAGTGCATCTCATAGTCACGGCGGGTCCTAGTGACACGTCATTTTATTTGCCGCTCTATCATGTATTTTCCCAGTACATGATTGAAATAAATTAAAAAGTACTTCAATATTTGATATATTAAAAACTTTCCCTATGCAGTGCATTCTCCTTGCACAATCTTTCTAATGCTTTACATTCTTCTTACCCTAATATTCTGGGAAGAATTAATAACAACTCTATTTTCTCTTAAGATGAAGACCCTAATATTCTCTCTCAATAACACACATTAAATGATATCTGATTCGAGAACAAATTAATTTAATTGATCTGTCTCTACAAACCGGATGCAATGAGTCTCACGAGATGAGATCCCGAACAAGAAATATTTGTGCATAAAAATTCAAACAATTAAACTCACATAAAATATTCATTAGATTGATATTAACATGATTACATATACTTTTAAAATATAATAAAAAATAAAATATGATTAAAAGAAATAAATTCTAAAGTCGACCATGAATTAAGGTAGAATGGGTAACTTAGCCTTTTCATCATACACTGTGATGCAAAATGCAAGAAAATGGACTAAATGATAATATATGTAAGAACAACAAGGAAGTGATCGATGCCAAAAAAGATATTAACATATTCTTAATATATATATATATATATATATATATATATTATCTTCCTCATGTACAATCAGAATCTTAAGATCTTGAATCTTACTCTAAATAATATTTTCATTTGTGTTATTTAAATGACCCCATCTAATCTTATAACAATATTTTACTTTTTTTTTATATTTTACCACTTCATCTTAAAGTCTAAAACTAATAAACAATGCTGAGTGCATAAACATTCACTCAGAATAATTTTATAATCTTTATAATCTAAGTAATATATTTTTATAAGAAAATATTCAATGTGAATTTTATTGTATCCATTCTTATAATTGAGGAGATGCTATAGTCTTTTCTTAAAAAAGGTGTACGTTAATGAGTTATTATAAAATTATACGCTAAAGAGAAAATTAATATAGTCCTACCACCTTAATTAGTTACTTGAAACCCATAATTGTTATGAATACTATTAGATTTTTCTACATCTCCACAAACATGATCATTTAAATCTTCAATACAAAAATTTCTTTAAGAGGAATCTTGTCACAACCCAACCAAACAAGACCGCCTAATAGTAGGCAATTGAAAATCTTATTAAGCAAAAATGTACATTTTTAAAAAAATAACCAAATTATAAGAGATCTTACAAAACACTATTTTAAATCTTTAATTATACTATAATATTGTTTTTTTAGAGCTTGGTTATTTTATATTTACTAAAAAATTACAAATTCAAAAAATTTTAGTATAAAATTCTAAAAAAAAATATTTAAAATATTTAGAATCTCGATTTCTATATCATACAAAAAGTTACATAATAAAAGTTTTATTAGTATAAAATTATTCACATTTTTTTTTAATAAAAACTATGGATTTAATAAAAAAATTTAGAAAACTTTCTAATTTTCAAAACTGATATAGACAAAATGTGATCTACCTCGATCCAGGTTATATTAAGAATTGGGACGATTGTAGGGGTGTCATTATTTGAACTGAACATAAATCCAACCCAAAACATTTAGGGTTCGGGTCAACGTGTTTGTTAGATGGGTTGGATTTGTGTTGACCTGGTAATAAAAAATCAACCCAAAGGACTAGGAAGTCTAACCCGAAATCCTTATCTACAACGGATCATGCGCTTTCACCTACTCGTAACGCTCCCGCCAGTCCGCCACGATCGTGCTAGCCTGTAAAGACCCTCATGCGCTCACGTCTAGACTTCGCACCTGGACCTATGCTTGCATAACGCGTAGACTACACTCGGTGCTCACTCAAATCCATCTTGAAAACTCATTTTGACACCCCTAGGCGACAATAAATATTGAATCAAAATAGCTTAAATTCTCTTTTCTGTCTCTAAAAATTGAGAATTATTGCTTATAAGAGAACATATATTTCAAATTCCTATCCTAAATCTATTTTCATGGATAAACTTCTTTGCCCACATCTATCAGTAATGTGGGAACCATTGCTTATTTAGCTTTGTACTTGGACACTAGTACAACAGTCATTGCACACTTATCTCAATATAGGGAATGCCCTAGCATTAAAATAATGCATTAAATAATTAATGTCATTATTATTTGATAAATTTTATGCTGTTCGTCGACTACCTTACACAACTCTTTATTTTCTCATATAAGATTTGGGACCTGACAACATTAGTGCTACCAAATAAATATATAACAAAAATATTTGACCAATTATGTATATTATGAAGCTTATGTTGTCAAAATTTGTATTACTTCAAGTAAATATACATATAATTTAAAAATAATAAAATCAAATATATTAATTATTTAGTAGAAGTAATAAAAATTAACTTATTTTAAACTCTAACATATCTTTAGGTTTTTAAATATTAACTTTTATTTATATCAAAATTTTAAAATAAATTTATTATTATGATATAATACATCCTTATCTATAAATAATTAAAAATTTATCTTAAATAACATAAATTTTCTTAGAGAGAAATTATAACAACCTCCTTGCAATTTTCCAAAAAAAAAAAAAAATTACATGCTTACCATTTTATATCTATAATTTTATATATCTAAAATTTCATTTATTAATATTACACTTATACCACACGATACCCTATTACACATCCTTGCGGCCATTATCCGAAAGAACTAAACCATAGACTGAGCTCAAGCTGCCGGCGCAGGGACACCGGAAATGGCGACCCTCTCGGCGATGATGCTTCCCCTTTTGCTACTCTTCTTAATCTTCTTAATCTCTTCAACATCCTCTTTTTTCTTTGATTCAGCTCATAGGGATCAGAATCCAATGCGTTCGAGTCGGAGGTGTGGAAATACCTAACAACAAACGCGTAGAGTTCTCGCTGCAGCACATCCACGGCGTCGGCCGAAGCCGTTCTCTTCAGATCCTCTGCGACCTCGGAATGGAGAATAAAATCACTAAAGATCTGTCCGAAGACGAGCTCATCCAACTCCGTGATGAAGTTTCCAAGTATATGATCGAGGGAGACCTCGTAAGCTTTCATCTTTTTCATTTTTGTTTTAATTTCTTTGCTTGGACTACTTTTTTCGTCATTTTAAGATATTTGGCGACTAAATTGGGGAGCAAAAACGTTTCAGTCGGCTGGCGATTGAGAGGTTGACGGAGATCCGATGCTACAGGGGGATTAGGCACCAGATGGGGCTTCCGTGCAGGGACCAAAGGACGAAGAACAATTGCAGAACGCTCAAGGGTAAGAAGGTAGCGGTAGCCGGAAAAAAAAAGACTAAGTGATGGTATCTTCTTCTATGATTCTGAGTGGATGGTGTATGTCTCTTGTTATTATTTAGTCCAATTCTTCTTCTACCTGTAGAAAGGCTACCAAAAATGCTTTATGAGACCTCTCCAATGGCATTATCTTGATTTCTAGATTCATTGCCTTTTTTTTATTTATTTTAAATGACAGTTTTGCGCTTTATAATTCTTGATGACCTTCTTATTTTCAATAACACTCCTTGATATTGCTTGGATTTTCAAGTGAACTATGAGATACAAAACAGGATTTTTCTTAGGGCTGTCTGAAGTTAGAATACTTATCATATAAATGTTGAGATGTGCTAGATTCTGTTAGATGTTAGAAATCAAGTAATATTAGTTTGAAACTTTGCACACCCCTTCAAAACCCCTCGAAGGGACCGATTGAGATTTCACACACTAAAGTAAGTGAGAATAAAGCATTTTTTTCTTGAACAGTTTTTTAGCCGAACAACTAATTAAGCCCTAATAAACATTTAACATTGAACATATAAAATATCCTTTTTAGGCCATGGTCTTTTTGAAAGCCTTTATGAGAATTTTTTTTTGGGAACGGGTTATCTACCCACAACACCCTCAAAGGAGGTGCATGGCGGCATAACTAATCCCTCGGTGGGCCTACCAGCAACCAACCCTACAGGTGTAGGGTCACACAGATATTTTCTTCCGACTTAAGGAGTCGCTCCACATAAGAGATGAATCAAATATGAGTTGGGGGTTCCCAACCACGCTCGCCATCAACTCAGCTAAGCCCGATGGGGTTTTCGTGAGAAATTAAGCATGATTTATTTCATGATAGCTTTTATTTCTTGCTTGATCTCCTTTTATGACTTAAGATTAGATGAACAGCTTTTTCAGATACTTTAAAATATGCAGTGTAGATTAATATTTGAACTAGAAAATACCATGCTTAGTGCCAAATACAGCCAAAAAATCATAAATTTGTTTATGCATACAGAATAAGACTGTGTTATAGTGGCATGTGGTGGATTTGCTTGTCATATGAAACATATAACTTTAATTACTTTCAATAGTGATAGGGCACATCAGCTACCACCAAGCCGACTGAGCAGGCATCGAGATTTGCTATAGTGGCTTAAGGAGTTTTCTTCAAGTTCAGCATTATTGTATTATTACATGCTAATTGAGTTTAATTAGTCTTAATTTATCTAGCAGTTTTTTTGGTAAATAATAGTGTAATAGTCTTGAGGAGAGTAATAAGAAAATAATTCTTCCCTTTATCTGTTTTCTTCCTTTTTTTGTGGGCCCAATAGGGGGAGAAACCTATCAAATTGGTGCTCTCTATTGAGCCTCCTTGTTTTTCCATGGCTGAAAACCTTTTTTTTTTTGGTTAAAACTAGACTTCATTTAGGTTATCATCAAATTTACATGAGTAATTCATATTATTATAAAACGGCTTTCCATACTCACGAATGGTACTCCTTGTCCTTATAAGAATACAAATAGGTAAAAATAGAAGTTATAATATAGATTCTGGCGCTTAAGAAGATTTGGTAAAATATACTAGCAGAACTAGATCATAGCGTCAATATGGTAGTAGCATTAGTGCAAGTTTAAATTCTTTTATTTATAAAGATTGGTTAAGTTGAACTTCCGTAGTGGGATAAAGATTTGATGTTATTATTTTTATATAAAGATTGATTAGGAGAGCATTGCAACATGAGAGGAATATTAATTCATTAAAAGCTCTAAAAAATCTTTTTATTATGTGTGATTAATTGATTGAATGTGAGTGTATTCAGTTTGGTTAATTTTATAATTGAAAACAATATTGGAGAAAATCATTAATCTATAGTTAAAGGGGTGAAGCTAATTATTTCTCTCTAGATCCCTTAAAGTTTATATTGCTATCTCTAATTCGCCGCTTCACTATCCATAGTAAGAACAATCTCACCCTTAGAAAGATATCTTTTATTCATGTACTCTAAATTTGCTGGGCACAAAATCTATCGGTTTTGTACTTCTATAGTGATTGATTCTTTTTCTGGACAAGCTAATTCCTTTTTGGGCTTTGCCAGAACATCCATCATAGAATTGCTTTCATGCGGTATCCTGTATAAACTGATGATGGGAATTTGCTTGAGAAGTTTGAACGTGTACTAATAATATGGCAGTAGATTCAAGATTGTAAATTCTAGCTACCTGATTGACAATAAGTTGCGAATCTCTAATTCATTTGTGAGCTTTGATGGGCATCCGCGATAGAATTCCTTTTATGGGATATCCCGTTGGGCTGCAAACGAACCTAGCCAAGCCGAGTATGTGAGTGTTCATGTTTGAGTTCATTTATTATTGTCTTGTTCAAGTTCGGTTCATGTTTGATTCGAGATTTATTGTTTGTGTTCATGTTTGCATTTAATTTATCAGTGTTCATGTTCGGTTCATTTAGTGCTTATCGAGCTTTAAACAAACAAACATTAACGAGCTATGTTCGTGAACATATTTAGCAAACAATTTATCGAACAAACAAACATTAAATTTGTTCATGAACATCTTAAACAAATAATCTTGCCAACATGGATAAATGTAAAATGTCTCTTGTTCATGAACAAATTCATTATGTTATAATAAATTTAAAATATTTATATTATGCATGTTTATCAATTTTATAATAAAATATTAATCAATTTTTTATCGAGTTTATTCAAGAGCTCTGAATCGATCATGAATCGAGCTGTTATCGGGTTTCTTATTGAGTTTAATGTCGTGCTTGTTTACGAGCTTCAAATGATGTTGTTTGTTATCATAAATGAACAAAACACGTTAGTGTTCAAGCTTGTTTATTTAAGGATCGAGTATTTAAAATGATGTTCAAGTTTGTTTGTTTAGTTAGTTAAGCGATCACAAACGAGCTTTGATCGAATAGAGCAACGAGTAGCTCATCAAACATTTGGTTCGCTTGCAGCCCTAATATCCCGTGTAAACTCAGCATGGGAATCTGCTTGAGAAGCTGGATCGTGTGCTGATAATATGGCAGTAGTTTAGGCTTCAAAATTGCAAATTCTGACAACCTGATTAACAACAAATTGTGAATCTATAATAACCCCCCGGTTGGCCATTACTTTATCTGTAGCTGCTTGCAAAGAGGAAATACATAAACTTGGGGGAAAAAAATCCAGAGTGAGAAAGAATTAAGCAGAAGTAGTAATGCAACTATTGCAACTAGTTGACGTAATAGATGTTTATAAAAAATGTCTTCAGCTAAAAATTTTCAATTATTCAGTGACTTATCTTAATTTTCACTTAATCATTTAAGCTGTCATTAGGCATGTCAACAGGTCAACCCGAATCCGAGTTGATACGGCTCTAAACAGGTCAACCCGAATCTGGCGCATTTTTGCAAATAATTCGGCTATTTCAATCCAGACCTGACCCTCACGGGTTGCCAGGTTGACATGACTAGACTAGGATTTAGGAGATTTGACTGAAAAAGCGCATGTTGAGCTCCTGTCGCCAGTTCACTGAGTTTCAATTCAAAGTCAAAGGCGAATCAGTGGCAACGGCTGCACGTAAAGCGACGCAACCTGTCGGGCACTGGACGCAGGTAGTGCTTGCAGCAGGCGCTGGTAGACCATTTCTGGGTTATTTTCGAGTTTCCGGTTCAACCCAAACCCGAATTGATTTTTGAAACGGGTCGGTTTATTGATTCCAAACCGATCACCCATTTCACAAACAGGTCGACCCGAACCCAGATTTTTTCTAGTCGGATTTCGGATCGTGTCAAAAATTGACACCCCTAGCAGTCATATCCGTATATATATATGAATGTACGAGAATTTGCTTGTTGATGATACTACGAAATCTGATTTACGAAATGCTTAAAAATCTATGAAAATGAAATTGGAATTCTTACCATATTAACTTCCTTTTTGCGATCATCTCATAAACTGATCTCTCTGTTCATCGTTATATGATTTCACTTTATATTGTGGTCTTTTGACATTTTGAGATGTGCTGAGGGCTTTTGTTTGGTTGAAGTGTTTTTATTTGAAATTGATCATTTAATTTATTTTTGGTGTATTTCTAAATCATCTAAATAAAACAGTCACATTTGCTTATTGCGATCATGAAATTTATTTCATTATACCCCTAACAAGCTTTTAACTCAAACTTTTCTTCTCTTTTGCTTGCCGCCGACCTGATTGATGCAACCTCCAACGAGCTCTTGTTGTGGGCTCTGCTTCTCCTCCACACGTTACTAATCTTATTAGTACACGCTCCAAACATATGAAGCCTAAATCTCTAATCATAAGAGTTTTACCATCACAAGCTTCTTTGAACAATTTATATAGTTCTGTTTCATTTGGGACAGCTTTTTCACTGTTTTCTAAAACAGTTTCTAACATAATATATTTTTTAAAATAGTAACAAAATAGTTGTCAAAAGCTGTCCAAAACTTATCCGTAGTCATATAGTGTAAGTTGGTTGTCTTTGTGATTAAACCAAAAAAATTTGTTAGTGTTCCTTATTACTTATTTTGAAAAGAAAGGAAATTGAGGTGGAATTTTAAATTTTATAATCATTAATTTTAATTTAATACGAGTTTAATATAATTTTTAATTTATTAATTTATTAATTTATTATTACACCATCTTAAATTTTTATAATCATTTTAATAGTCAAATTTTTTTTTTTGGAAATCTCTGTTGGGTTAATGAGGAGGAAGATAAATGTGATAATACATGATTCCCTGCTACCACTTCATGTGCTCATCGTTTGTACCAAAACATTATGCAGTGGCTCTTTAGATCATGTTCGTTAATCAATAACGGCTCAATCTCATTTCTTGATGTCTTTGTCTTCTTTACGTATTCTCTGGCTATATGTATGCGTAGCTACAGAAAATGGAAGGAGATAGGATTTCTACTGCCTTATTCTTGGTTTCCTCATTGTTTTTCTCTTTCTCTGCTTCTCCGTATTTCCTATGTTTTCTACAAGTACCTAGAAGCTGCAGTTCAACATGGTATTAGAGCATTTTTTGTGCCTAACGGCTTGATCTATCAAATCTACGAATGACGTCCTCTGCTTCGTCTTCTACCTCAACCCTTCTTTTTTCTTCGTTGTGAAAATGGCAGATATCACCATTCCTTCACAGTTGA